GAACTGCATAGTAAGACCCTGTCTCAAAAAGAAAAAAGAAATGGACTAAACGCAATTTGCAAAAAGAGATGTTCATGAGTCTTTGAGGTGGGCAGGAGTTTATATCTAAGTGTCCTTTTAAAACTAAATGGAATCATAGGTAGAAATTTTGAAAGGTTATTGATTATGGGGCATTGTATAGCTGATATGTTAGGAGGTGGGGCCTGGTTGGAAGAATGGGTCACTGAAGGTGTGACCCAGAAGGTTATATCTCCCTTCCTGGCTCCTCCCTTGACATGGTGTGCTTTCTGGAAGCCATGAGATGAGGTGAGCAGCTTTCCTCCACCCAGGTCCTTCCACCATGCTGTTCGGCCTTGGAGTCAGCTAACGATGGACTGAAACTTCTACCAACTATGAGGCAAAATTAGCCTTTCTTCCTGTAAGTTGAGGGCATGGGATATTGGGTCTCAGTGATGAGAAAATGACTGTGACACTGGGTAATTTTATAAATAAAAGAGGTTTATTTGCTCAGTTCCCAGGGTTCAAGTACACAGCACCGTTATCAGCTCAGTTTTTGAGGGCTTCACAGCAGATGCACTGCTATTGTGGGAGAGAAAGAGATCACACTGCAAGACAGGAAGCCCGAGAGAGACTGGGATCCCCCACCCCTTCCAAGAACACATCCCTAATTTACTAAGGACTTCCCACCAGGCCTTACCTTTTCAACATCTCACCACCTGTTAATGTTGCCACACTGGGGACCAAGTTTCCAACACATGTACCCTTGGGGGACAAAACCCATGTCCAAACCATAGCACCAGGTATCAAAAAATTTGACAGTGCCCCCAGGCCCTCACTATAATGTACACTAAGTGAGTTGGGATCCTCAAAGCCACTCTTTTAGCTTAGTGTACATTTCACTGCATATTCGACAAGCCCTAAACCCTCAGGGACTCATAATAAGTGTGTTGTGTTTTTCATTTCCCATCACAGTCCCCTGGCTATGCTTATTTTATTTTCTCAGAAGGAGCAGCCCCTATCTGAGATCTTTCTCATCCCACAGTAGAGAGATAGGATGGTGGAATGCTGGCCATTTTGAGTTCTACTTAGCAGCTATAAACATCATGGCAGTCACATTACACTCGCCAGAGTGAGTTACACCGCCCTGATAGCAACGTGCAGGAGATGCACAATCCTCCCGCAAGGCGAGGCAGCAAATATTTGGACAATAATGCAACCTACCACGAGGCCAGCTGGATGAGGAATTGACCAACGGCAAAAGCTCTTCATCCCCCGCCAGGTCAAACAAGCCAGCGCACTGAGATAAAGCCACAATCGTCAGTGTTAATTTTTAATTGTGCTTTGTCCTCTTCACGTTCAAACTGTAGCAAGGTCTTTTGTTGTTGTTTTTCTGTTTGAATTTTGAGACTAGATATCCTATGTCACTCAGGCTGCCTCAAACTCTTGATCTTAGCTTCCTGGGTACCTGGGCTTACAGGGATGTGGCGCCATTCTCATCTGGTTTTGTTACTTAATTAACCTGAAATTGGGTTTGGTGTGGTCCACAGAGAAGAAACATTAAAACACCAGTGCTCTTCAACGAGAAGCCCTCACTGCTAATGGGGATGTAAAACAGCACAGCCATTTTGGAATACAGTGTGGAGGTTTCTTACAAAACTAAACATACTCTTCTCATAGGATCCAGCAGCTGAACTCCTTGGTAGTTGCCCACTTGAGTGTGCAAACACTCAAAAACCTGCACATGAATGTTTATAGCAGCTTTAGTCATAATTGCCCAGACCTAGAAAGTGACAGCATGTCCTTCTCTCTCTCTCTTTGTGTGTGTGTGTGTGTGTGTGTGTGTGTGTGTGTGTGTGTAGGAGGGAATGGCTAAATAAATTATGAAACATCCAGATAATGGATGAGAATACGATTCAGTGCTAAGAAGAAATGGACTATCAGCCCATGGGAAGGTTAGAAGTGAGGCTTAAGTCCATATTACCAAGTAGAAGAAGCCTCTCTGTATGATCTATAAGACATTCTGGAAAAGGAAAAACTATAGAGGTAATAAAAGGACCTGTAGTTGCCAGCAGCTGGAGGAGGGAGGAACAGATGGAGGAGAGGATTCCTAGGGCAGTGGCAATACTCTATGATACTGTGCTGGTGGACAGAGGACATCACACATGTCTTCAAATCCATAGAATGTGCAAGCAATGTGCCCTAATGTAAACCACCAAGTGTAGTTCAGGAAAATATATCGAAAATAAAAATAGAAAATAAATGCCCAGACAGTGCTCTTAGGAAAGCATCAGGGGAACCAGCTAGGCTGGAGGCCAAAAGTGGTAGTGGCTGGCTCTGTGCTAGGTGCCTCCCTGGTCAGCAGTGCTGTGCAAGCTGCCTGGCCTCCCTGAGCCTCGCCATGCTCATCTGTAACCCGGGTGCTCATGGTTGTAGAGAGAATGGATATGTGCCTTGGGGTCCCCAGGGTCTGGCTGAGAGTGCAAGCAAAGCAAGGCATGGCCCAAATTCTAACTTATGTCCCAAAGTAGGGGATCAGACCCTTTACTCCCTCCACCTGGGAAGGCTTTCTCAGCTCGGAATAGCCCCTTCCCCCAACACTGACACTAAAAACTGTGGGAGCTTCTCAGCACCTGAAACCCCAAGTAATCCAACCTACCTGCTGGTCCCAATGGCTCTCCTACCTATTATATCTTCCAGTACCTGCCACCTCACCTTCTGCCCCCATGGCTCACTATTTCAGGAATGCCCCAGGCTTGAGGGACTTGACACCGGCTGTTTCTTCCACAGGATGCACTGATCTCGCCCAGTTAGTGGGCATGTGTCACCTGTGAGGGCCTGATGGGGGCTTCCTGGCATGCCCTGCTATATACACCAGTCTGCCGTTCAGCTTTTAGCTGATGCTAATCACTTTGCTATGCTCTATAGCTCCCTTATGGGGCTTATTATGCCACCTCCTATGATAAAGAAGGCTCTAGGAGCAGGGAACTGCCTCTTTAATTCTTCCTGTGTCTCTGGTACCCAGAAACAGAATCTGGCATGCAGAGATCCTGAAAAAGTGGCCATCTAGCACCTCTGCCCCATTCTCCTGATGGCTCTCCTGCTCTCCACCCAGCAGCATCTCCCCTAATTTCACCCCCTCCTGGGGCTCCCCATTGCCTGCAGACAAAATCCGACTTTTGATCAGGCCCACCAAGCCCAGGAAAGGACCAGCAGGAAGGGCCAGGGAAAGAAGCCCAGCAGGCACACCCCATGCACATTCTCACAATAATCTGTAAGCCCATGTGCCCCTCAAGTGGGCCCCTCAGCCTTGCCTCTCCTGGCTCACCCTGGCCTTTTTGCTTACCCTTCCTCCCTCTCAGCTTCTATCCAAGCTGTCCTATTGGGGTCTTCCTGGAGCACTGGAGCTCCAGGTCCCACCCACCTACCCAGCCTGGTCCATGGGGAGGGACATTGCAATCAATGGTTTCATCCTTGATGCCCTGGGGAGTGCAGCCCCCTATCCACCCAGGCTATGGATTGGGGGTTCACATGTTTGTTCCTAGGATTGATCGTCATTGGCACAGGTGAGAAAGGTAGCTTTCCAGCAATGTCACTGATGTTATTATTTCCATAACTGTCCTCACATGAGTATACCAGATCTGGAAGGTACTACAGACATTTCACAGCCCAGATAGGGAAACTGAGGCCCCGTGAGGGAAAGAATGGCTTGCCAGGGGTCACGAGTGTGACAACACAATGATGCTTCCCCATGGAAGGCAGCCTCCAGGTTCCTGCTGTGGGTTCCTGCCATGGGGTAGAAACCACACACATGTCCCCCTCACTGCTTTTGAGAAAGTCACCCTACAGAGAGACCAGGAAGCTGGGCAGCAGATGAGCAGCACCCCCAGGTCCCTGTGATGGGGGCAGGGCTGCGAGAAACACAGCAGGGAACAGAGGCCTGGCACGGTTGAGCCTCACTCAGAGGGCTGTGCCTCAGGGACCCCATTAACTTTCATCCCCAAGAGCAGACACTCAGAGGCCCTGCGTGCCCACTCCCTGCATGCCAGACCATTGGGTAGCACACCACACTCCCACCGCTGTCTTTCTCAGAGAACAGGGCTTGTCCTGGCCCACACTGGAAATGGGGAGCCCCCCCACAAGGATGAAGCAGGTCTCCCCCACGTAGTCCAAGGTACCAACAGGCTATTGTTGGTCTAGCAGAAGGCAGCAGGGCCTGCGCCCTTCAGGAGGTGTGGGGGCACTTCCTGGTGCCTGGCCTCATTTGGGCCTTGCAGGCAGTTGGGCGAAGGTTAGGCTAATTATGCATATGCACATATCTCAAAAATCTCATCTTGCCTGCTGCTCCCTTATACAGCCTGACAACCCCCAGCTCTCCTTTGCTCCTAATCTAAGGCACCAGCAAAAATAGTGCCAGCTTTTCTGGCTTTGTGATTTCATGTCACCCTTTCCATTGTAAGCTCCAAATTTCAGAGGTTTATAGATTGGCCACAAAGAAAATAAAGCAAAATCATACCCTTTTAACTAAATGGAAGCACTCTGAAACCAGCAGGCTAGTGGGGTGCCAGCACAGGTATGGGGGGTGGGTAGAATAGCCCCTTGTCTTCTCCCCCACCAAGGCCATGATGCAGCCCACCCTAGGGGACCCTGGAGGAGCTGGGACCCCTTCTTGTGAAGGGTACTGCAATGAGGAGTTGGGAAGTGCCTGGTCCGACCTTTGCAGTGCCCATGAGAACCCAGTTCCCTGCTGGTGGTTTCCTTGGAACAAGAGACTCTAGTGAGCTGGGATAGATGCTTATTTTGGACCAACAGCAGCAAGCGACAAGTGCCTGGCCTGCAGCAGGTGGGCCTGTCTGGCCAGGAGAAAGGCCCCTCCCTTTTGGACAGACTTCACCCTGCCAAGTGGCAGCAATATTTGGCCCGCTCTCCCAGCCCCCGCCCGCTCTGAGCTGTCTATCTCCGCAGCTTTGTCGTGTAAAGGTGTACAAGCACAAGCAGACAGGTTTGCAGCATTTTTTGGCCTCTTTATTTAAAACCCGGCGGACGAGGAGCCGGGGCAGTGGTACAGATGGCTCAGGAACCATTTTTTAACAGTTTTGTCTTCAAGTTTAAAATAGTAATAATAAGAGAGGCAGCAAAAGCGTGAAAAGATTGCAAGCTAGATGAGTAGTATAGAAGCTAGTATGTGAGCGACTCCTTCCCCTAGAGCCTGCTGGAAAAATAAATTTACACTTGCTGATAATCTGATGTGGGTGAAATATAGTGTGCCTTTGGCATAACCAATACCAGAGCAGGTGCATGGCAGAGAGACCCACGCCAGGACATAAATAGAAAATATAAGTTAGTATAACTTTAAAAGCTTTTTGTACAAATATACATTTTTTTATTTTTTTCCTTTTTTTTTCTTTTTTTCCCTTTTATACTTTTTTTTTCTTTTTTTTTTTTTTTTGCACCGAGCGTCAGCAGAGATTAAACATTTTATATAAATGACTCTTAAAGCTTTACACCTTGGGACCCAGTGTTCTCCATGTGCAGAATATATCTAAATATAACAAAGCTATCAATACATTGCACAGTTTTCAGAGTTAAAGAAAATCGAAGGCTGCTCTGCGGCCGCTGCCTCCGGTTGCTGCAACATGTACGGTTCTGGTCCCAGCGAGGCCCCGCGCTTATCCATCGTCCGCTGCCCAACAAGCTCCCCGTGTTCTTAGGGCTCTAAGCTGCAGGGAGAGGGACAGTGAGCACACAGTCTTCGTTGGGGACGCCCCTCCGCGACACCCTCAGGGCACCGGACTCACCTAACTCATCTCAGCCGCTTGCGCGGGGTTTGCTCGGGCGCACCAGCCCCAGCAGGCGCGCTAGCAGAGGGACATCCTGGGGGTACATCGCCGGAGGATTTGCTCTCAGGCGCAGATCTCTTTCTTTTGGCGAAGAAATCTGCGGGCGACAGCGCGCGCGGCGGGTCAGGGCGGGGCGGGCTGTGAGACTCGAGAGGGGGCCGGGAGAGGGCGCGGGGTGCAGGGCCGGGGTGGGGACGCCGTCCCCGCCCGCGCCGAGGTCCGCGGCGGGTCAGCTTTGTTTACGTCGCCGCGCAATGTGCTGTGTAAGCATTTCCCCTTGTCCCGCGGCCAAGCCCCCCGGGGCTGCTGCCGTGCTTAACCCCCTCAGCGCCACGCTCCCGGCGCCAGACTGCGCACGAGAGGGGCTCCCACTGCTGCCATCCCAGACTGCACTCCCAGGGGGCCGGGCTCACCCTCCTGTGACGCCCTTCAGAGCTGCGGACCAGCGCCGCGGCGGAGAGGGGAGGGGGCGCGGCTGCAGCCGCGCCCTACGCCGCGCGGGCCCTTTAACGCCACGGGAGGAGGCGGGGACCGAGCGCGGCCCCCGAGGACTGGGGAGAAACCGGCCGGCCGGACAAAGCGGGGCCGGCCCGGGGCGGGGCCGTGCGGGGCTCACCGGAGATGAGAGGCCCCGACAGCTTCTTGATCGCCGCGCCGCTGGCGCCGGCCGCCGCAGTGCCGGCAGCGGGACGTCCCGGAATCCCCGCGTGCAGCGAGTCGGCGAGCGGCTCGGGGCCGCGCTGCGCCTGGTTCGCGCCCGACTCGGCGCTGTTCTGAGGCGCCGCTTCTGCGTCAGGGTCCGGGTCGGAGCCCAGCTCGGAAGCGGAGACCGAGGCTGGGGCCAGAGCCGGGGCCACTGCTGGGGCCAGAGCCGGGGCCAGAGCCGGGGCCAGCACTGGAGCCAGCGCCGGAGCCAGAGCTGGTGCCAGAGCTGGGGCTCGTGCTGGGGCCAGAGCCGGGGGCACAGCCGGGGCCAGAACCGGGGGCACAGGCTGGGCCAACGCCGAGGCCAGAATCGGGGGCACAGACGGAGCCAATGCCCGGGCCAAGACCGGGGGCAC